CCAGACCAAACAACCACTGTTCCTCTGCTTACAGCAGGAGCCAAAAACTAAATTCACCTAACAGCCTAACTAGGAAGGTGCTACAGGTGCTTCAAAAAATGGGGGCCCTACATAGAAGCAGGTTAGTTTCTTCCTCTTCCAAGTAAATTGAACGCTGCAGCACAGAAAACATATTTATTATATGATCCAACCAATGCAGCGTTATATGATTTCCTGCATTCATTTGCAATAAATGGAATGTAAAAGACAACTGCATCTAATGTACTGCTACATGAGAATCAATATGTTTCTTGGAATTCTTTTTTCTTCTTATCTTATCTTGTAGGCAAGGCTAAATATTACTGATGCAATGCACAGCGTCAAAGGTCCCAACCCTGTCACCTCATTTTAAAAGACATCATTCATTCTGAAAGAAGATTCGGTAAATGTGGCTGATGCTGGGAGATGCATGCTGGGAGCGCAAGATTACAGGAACATAAACATCTAAATCTGCCATTTGCCTCAATTACGCCTTGGAGATCCCGAAAACTAGCCATATTTTCTGTTGAATATTTAAAAGCTTCTTTTAGTACTGATGCCTAAAATGATAATGTGATATTGATGCTTGCTGGTGATATTGGGAAACCTATACATTTATTCCTGGCATGTACATTTGAAGGGGTAATACCAGGAAGACTAGAGAATTATTTTGTTGACCAAAACTGCTATATGAGCCTAAAGGCCAATGTTGACAGGTTTCTGTTGGCTTTAGAAGTGCTTCATTTTACATACAATTCTACAGATGGCAAAAACAGCTTAAAGCAGGTTAAACCCAGATCTATTGCTTCTGTAATGATCTCAGAAGCCTTTTAGGATAGGTTTTGTAAATTTGGCATTATTACTAACATTTTCCCTTTGAAATTTTACACCACAATGCACTCTAGAAAAAAAACATTTTTTGTGTAAAATGTTAAGATAACATTAGGATAAAATCTTCCAGGTTTGTAGAAACAATAAATACTATGTTGGGTGCATATATTAAAGATTTACAATTGCTAAAATTGTGAATGTTTCTCATTCAGGCAAATGTTTGACGCTTAATATATTAAAGGCAAATGTAATTCGGAGCATTTGACGTGTTGGTTGGAACCTTGGAATTTAGCCACCTAATGCAAGTCTGCAGCAACAGATCAGTCTTATTAGTGATCTATTGCTGGCTGCACTATTGCAGTAATCTATCTCTGCAAATAGAGCTGCATCAGTACTGACAAGTACTACCATGAGCGGACTGACAACTCATGGGGCCCCTGGGCAATAGGGGATCATGGGGCCCCTGTGTCCTTGCCCAAACTCAAAAAAGCCTATGAAAAAGGTACCAGGGGCATCTCATGGGGCCCCCTACTGACCCTGGGCCCTCAGGCAGTGCCGAGTTTCCAAATGGTCAGTCCGCCCCTGAGTACTACAACATTATGTCACTTCCTCTATAAACACAATGTTGAAGCACAGTGTTTTATACCGTCTGATACAGAGCACTCCTATGGAGGATTTGTAGTAGGATTTGTAGTAGGATTGGAAGTCCAGGAATATATAATTTCAGGTCATGGACTTAGTGGGGGACTGCAGCTGTCATTAATAATTGATGGTTCCAGCGCTAAAGCCCACCTTTGCTGCAGTCCGCTGTGCTCCAGACCTGATGTTATGTTTGTTGCCAGTCTATGGGGTATAATTTTTTAGTGGTATAGGTGAGTCCAGGTAGTCATTCCTATCTTTTTGTTTTAATGACCACCCAGTCATCTGGCTGCAGTGGATGGCACTGCGGTACTGAATTTGTATTTGTCAGGGATAAATACACTTGAGAATGAATAATAGTTAATATTTTTGATGATGAATAACATAGCCAGTCATAGAAACATGGCTGAATCAATAGAAAAGTATAGTCCAATCCTAGGGGATTGTCCAAAGAGTAACTCAAAAGGAGATGTCATCAAGGGTTTTTGGAAGGGGATGAGCCTTAAGCCAGCCATAGTTAGCTCAACTCTCAGCTGGTTTAGCAAAGTGATTTGACTCATTGACAGGCTAGTTGTACTGATGTTGATCCATCAATAATCTTCAGTACAGATTTTTTGCATGTGAATATCGCCAGCGGCTATACCTGCAAGCAATGATCATTGTGTTCTGCTGACAATAGCATCACGGAAGGGATTCCTCCATCAATGCAGTCAGTGTTGATGGGGGATAGATTTTCTTTCTTGCAACTTGTAGTTTCAGGAAAGAAAACTGCATAATTTATGGCTCGCTTTTTTGACAAATGCTTGAGGACATTTTAGTCCAGTATGTTCACAAGTTCTTTCTAGCCTTCCTTTCATAGTGCCATTGTATCTTTCAACTTTATGCATTAGATTTTAGCCAATTAGGAGTGTGGAACTACTGGGAGACTCCCAAATCTTCCACAATACATTGTAATGCCAGTAGAGTGGAGAAACACAGTCTGAGCTTATTTTCTCGCACATACCTTATCTATGCATTATTTCCTACAGTAATTTTCTAGCAGTAATACCAACTTTTCATTTTCTCCACCCATCCTGAATACAAATTCCAACATCAACACATTTATACAGACCACATTTTGGTAGTTTTTTTTTTTCAACCTGCATTCTTTGAAAGAAACTTTCAAAGTTTCTTTCTCTGCAGTCTCTGTGTTAGTACACCACCTCATCAATTCTAACCAGCTGCAGCAGGTATTTGACCCTTCGTGTGGGTTGAATACCTATTACCCCCACCACAAGTTGTGGTTGCTCTTGCTGCCTTGTACATCCTGTTGTGACATAAGAAACTGGCAGGTGGAACCACAGCATGTGGCAGGGGAGCAAGTATTCCAAACACCCAGGACAATAGAGGAGAGAGAGAGGTGCGCCAGACTAAGTGCCATAGCTCTACTACATGACCCTACCCACGCTGATGTGAGAGGCTGGCAGCACCCATCCAGAACACGGTTCCTTCCCTGCACCGCGACTCCCAGGACAATCGTCTGCCTTCCTCGCTCCTCCACTGAGACCCACGCCAGAGCACCAGCCACTGAGGGAGCTTTTGGCTCCAGATGTCCACCCTAGATGATGTCCTATATCTATAACCTGATGCCTGAATTTTATCCACATCTTTTGAGTTTTTAAATATCTTGTGTGCAATAAACAGTTACCATTTTTACTGCACTTAGTCTGGCGCACCTCTCTCTCGCCTCTATTTTCTCCACACAGAATTCCGGTTTACTCTGGAGACACCGGTGTTTATATTGCAGCTATATATATATATATATATATATATATATACACACATATACATATATATATACACACACACACACACACATATATTTTTATTCCTCACCATATCCCCCCTTCCTGCCCATCACTACCTGAACTATAAGACTCCTCCACCTTTTGAACTACTCAAGCTGCAATACCCTTCCTATACTACCATATACTTTATATATTTCTCGCAGCACCCTCCCCCTTTTTTTCCCCCCTGGAGTACGGAGAAGCCCCCATGCTCTCCTATAACTGAAACGTTTTTACACACCTCTAAAAACCCTTTACAGTCCGCATACCCACTACTACCTCTCCTGCGCCAATACGTACTTCTGTTTTTTCAAACACCCGGGACAGCTGCTGCTGCAGAAGAAAAAGCAAAGTGGCACCGATTTAAATAAACAGGCAACCAGAAAGGTAAGTATAGAGCCTGTTTTTTTACAGGGTGTATATTAAATAAAAGTGACCTCATGATGACACTATAACCTCCAGGATGATGCAGATGGTGTCAGAACCGATCCAAGTAACATAAACAGGCTGTTTGGTCTATTCATTTTGTAAAGCTCTGTGCAAACTGTCGGCGCTATCCTATCCTGTATAATAATAATTATAATATTGGAAAAATACTAACACATTATGATTGTTTTATGGGGTACTGAAAAAAGTTTTATCTACTTGGCTTGGAGGTCAACTCTAAAGCTGTTCAGCTAAGCTAATGATCCTTTTTTGTATTCTAAAATATACTTTTTCAGTCTAAATGTCTTCAGATTGTTGATTGAAAGACAACAGCAACCCATCTATCTGTAATGGCCATTAATAATTCATGTGCAGAAACTGAAAGGTTTTGGTGTGAAATGATTTTCATTGCATGTTTTCAAGTCTTTGTGTTAATCTGTTAATTACAGAGTTTTTAGCTTTACAAACGTTTAAAGGATCAGTCCAAAGATTGCAACAATGGCGGGCAGAAATGTTCCCATATTTGGTCGGATAAATGACTCAATAAAAACATATGATAGAAAGCTAGGTCTGCAAACACCACAGATCACCACATAATGAGGAGGTCATGATCTGTGCCCCAACAATTAGCATATGTGGGGAGGGAGGAATTAGGTGGGGAGTTAAGGTGTCCACGCAGCTTAGAGATACGTCCTGGTGCACAGGAGGGGGGGGGGGGGGTCCTGATTGACAGATTTGCTAGAATTGCATATGAGAGGTCAAGGATGCATTGTCCTTTATAGAAATTGAGTAGAAGTGAGAGATTTGGAGATATCTAAATATCTTCAAACTAGAATATCATATTATTGGCTTTCTCAAGGTATGTGGGGCTGGTAACAGAACTATAGAAAGTCGCAACTGTGTATATGTGCATAGTGCCATTTACCAGCCCATCACAGTGAAATTCAATTGTCCCGCTTTTCTTAGTAAAGTGAACAGGTATCGATTTGGCAATAGTCAAAGTTATTATATTATTAAGTGTTGCACAAATTGTTGGAGCTAAATAAATCCTGTATAATAATAATTTTAACAATAGTATTAGTCAGTAAATGTCCAACTGAAGTATTGGTATTTATTACTGCAATGCAGTCAGGCTGCATATACAGTAATACATACTGTACACTATATTGCCAAAAGTATTGGGACACCCCTCCAAATCATTGGATTCAGGTGTTCCAATCACCTCCATGGCCACAGGTGTATAAAATCAAGCACCTAGGCATGCAGACTGCTTCTACAAACATTTGTGAAAGAATGAGTCGCTCTCAGGAGCTCAGTGAATTCAAGCGTGGTACTATGATAGGTTTCCACCTGTGCAAAAAGCCCACCTGTGAAATTTCCTAGCTACTAAATATTCCACGGTCAACTGTTAGTGGGATTATAACAAAGTGGAAGCAACTGGGAACAACAGCAACTCAGCCACAAAGTGTAAAATGATAGAGTGGGGTCAGCGCATGCTGAAGCGTACAGTATGTAGAAGTCGCCAACTGTCTTCAGAGTCAATAGCTAAACAACACCAACGTGTGGTCTTCCGATTAGCACAACAGTGTGTAGTGATCTTCATGAAATGGGCTTCCATGGCCGAGCAGCTGCATCCAAGCCTTACATCACCAATTATAATGCAAACCATCGGATGCAGTGAGGTAAAGCACACCACCACTGGACTCTAGAGCAGTGCAGATGTGTTTTCTGGAGTGATGAAGCATGCTGGCAATCCGATGGGCATGTCTGGGTTTGGCAGTTGCCAGGAGAATGGTACTTGCCTGACTGCATTTTGCCAAGTGTAAAGTTTGGTGGAGAGGGATTATGGTGTGAGGTTGTTTTTCAGGGGTTGGGCTTGGCCCCTTAGTTCCAGTGAAGGGAACTCTTAAGACATCAGCATACCAAGACATTTTTGACAATTTCATGCTCCCAACTTTGTGGGAACAGTTTGGGGATGGCCCCTTCCTGTCCAAACATGACTGCTCACCAGTGCACAAAGCAAGGTTCATAAAGACATGGATGAGTGAGCTTGGGATGGAGGAACTTGACTGGCTTGCAAGGAGTCCTGACCTCAACCAGGCCTCCTCGCCGACATCAGTGCCTGGCCTCACAAATGCACTTCTGGAAGAATGGTCAAACCTTCCCATAGATACACTCCTAAACCTGTGGACAGCCTTCCCAGAAAAGTTGAAGGTATTATAGCTGCAAAGGGCTGGGCCAACTCAATATTGAACCCTACGGACTAAGACTGGGATGCCATTAAAGTTCATTTCAAGTACTTTTGGCAATATAGTGTATGTTCTTCTTTCTTTGTATTTTAGATACAAAGTGCAGAAAAGGTTAAAATACCCTGTGCAAGCACCACGCTGGACAGTCAGACCATTGCTCCCACAAACAGAGGCCCGTCTCTCCAGCAGTCTGACACTCCCCCTGCACCAATCAACTGCACTCTAGCACACTGAGCAGCACTGGTGATTGGAGCAGTCTGCAGAGGGGAGTGTCAGACCAATGCAGACCAGGGTTGCTGCTGCAGCCTGACTGCATTATAAATTGAAATTCCTATAACCCCTGCACCTATTTTGTTTAAAACTACCTAATACATACTTTAAACTAAGCGTGTATAAAGATAAAACGTTTATTTTTATAGTTTTGAATAGAGAAGGATTAGAGTCTCTCTGCCAAGCTTTTTGTTATTGCTGTCTCTGCCCCAACTGGGGAATTTCACACACACTCTATTTATCCTTGTGACCATTGTCACCGAGCTGGAAAGGGATGGGAAATCTTAATTTTCAGAGTTGTCAACAGAGTAAAAAGTGAGAAAAAATCTTCCAATGTCAACAAAAGTTCTAGTGACAACTGTCTAGGATGAGAATTCCCCTCACTTTGTAAAGAATTCCTCTTCTGTAAGCCATGTAGCGGGGTGGGCTCCCCAGGATACAGTAAAGTCACGAACGAGGAAAGCAACCCCAACATCAGCTTTTGCCACAACAGAATTTTGCTTAGATGTGGAAAATAAACACAACCACAAATGCTGGAATATACAATAAATTTACATACACCCAGCCCAAAGGCTGAGACCCTTGTTCTGCACAGCATGGCGCCTTCTGATGGATGAAGGTAGAAAGCGAAGTAATTTACCTACTGGCGGGCACAACTAAGCTGCCACACCTTACCTGTTATTACCCTAAAAGAGCAGGAATCAGTGTATGGGTGTACGGTATGGGCTAGCCTGCGGTTCAGCACAACAGCTTACAATCTTACACAAATCTACAGTATTCCCCCTCCCATAACTGGTCCTGTAGCACGTGCCTGAGTATTCCTTCTGAGCAAAACGCCAGTCTGCCTTGAGTTTGTAGGATTTTATCAGCTCTCCAATGTGAAATGTCACTTTAAGTTGTGGAGTCCTTCCAATGATCAGTAACAACACTTGTGGCCTGGCTCAAACAGAGACCCTAACTAACTATAGGCCTGTCTCCGGCCTATAGGCGCCAACACTGAAATGAGGTGCGTGCACGATCTTACTGACCCGGGTCTGCTTTGTACCCGCTGGTGACTCTGAACAGAACAAATGTCTCTCCAGGAAGCATGCGATGCCACAGTATATATATTGCTTAGTTACTCAGCTTCCCATCAGCTTCCTGCCTGCAATCTTCCTTTCTTTGAACAGGGTTAGTGTCTTGAACACCATCAGCTTCCCTCAACTGAATTTCTGATTACGGAGGGCTGTCCTCACATCTGGATGGCATCGGATTCTCAGATCACACACCCCCCCCCCCTTCTCTCTCTCTCAAGCATGGCTGCTCTCCTCTCCTTTTCCTGTTCACTTCCCAATTGTAAAACCCTACCTCTTCATGAATATAGAAATCTCTATGTAGTCTGAGGCTGTGTTAGAAAAAACAGTGACATCTTGTGGCTAAACTGCAGAATGTCAGTCAGAAAGTTTTTAATTTACTTCAATCAGTGTTCAAACAATGAAAGCTATTTCCCCATCTCACACTTCTTTCTGCTTCCTCTACGATAGAAAGTGAAGGGAGATCTCCCTAACGGACACAGACAGAAAACAGTAACCTTACAGGGGGATCAACCAATATATACACAATCAAAAAACAAAAAGAAAAAGGTGGGTATATATTGTAACAGTACAGGGCCCTGTCACAGGATAAATGCAGGTAGAAGTGGTCAGGTATTGGACACAGGGTCTGCACATGTGAGGAGTGCAGGACTGCGGAGCATAGATTTTGAGAGGAGACAACTGCTGTTGCAGGTTTCTCCAGATTTTGGTATTTCTGGATGGGGCTGCGTAGTTTGGAGATTTCAAAGTGCCTTGGGAGGGAAGAAATCTCCAATCCAGTGTCCAGAGTTTGAAAGCAGCCAACACACTAATGGTACAGGTGTGTACAGGGCTTTAAATGAGTGTCTCTGTGTGAGACTGATGCTGGGGGCGGTCCAAGGACTCCAAGGCTGTGTGTGGTCCAAGGGCTCCAAGGCTGTGTGTGGTCCAAGGACTCCAAGGCTGTGTGTGGTCCAAGGACTCCAAGGCTGTGTGTGGTCCAAGGACTCCAAGGCTGTGTGTGGTCCAAGGACTCCAAGGCTGTGTGTGGTCCAAGGACTCCAAGGCTGTGTGCGTTTGGAGGGCTCCACCTCGGCAGACAGGAGGTCATTGCCTGGACTCAGGAGGGCTTTGAGCAAGAGGTGGAAGCCAGTGCAGCAAGGGGCTGCTAGCTGTGTGTGAGTGGCTGATAGCTGGGTGCAAAAAAGCCATATTTTGGAAGGAGGCTGTGTGCATACAAGGAGTCCAACTGCTGTGTGCTGGGGCTAGCCAGTGGTCTAGGAGACCCATATAAAGAGAGGTATGGCTAATCAGCAGGGCTGATAAAGAGAGCCCGGAGGCTGAATATTTTGTTTGTTTTGATGGTGAAACACCCCTGCATGGGAAACGTATGTTATTGAACTTTCGTTTAAATAAAAGTTGGCCACATCGGCCCTTAAAAAGAAAGCGAATTGCTGTGTGCTTTAAAGAAGCTCTACCACTTAATGCGAGTTCCCACAATATATATTTTATAAATCCAGATTTCTTCTGGCTGGTAAGGTGATATCACAAATCACTGCTCTTCTAAAATGCCAACTAAAATAAATACACAGATGGGCCAAAACAAATGAAGGGATGAATGCTGCTCAACCGACCCTAGGAGTCCAATGTTGAGGAATGGCCTCAGCTGCTGTTCTGGCCACGTCCTCCGACACCAAGCCCCAGTGGGTGCAGTGAACTGTGTCAGAGGGCGTTTCCAGAATGGCGGCTGAGGCCATTCCTCAACATTGGACTCCTGGGGTCGGTTGAGCAGCATCCATCTGTTCACTTATATTGGCTGACACTGGAGTCACTTGACTCATGTATCCTCTTCTCACTTGCTGGTGGGGTGATCTTTTTCCTTCCATCTACAGCTTGGGGTGGCGCCATAAGGTATGCTTTTCACATTGTACACAGACTGCAACATGGCCTGGCACAGATTTACCCATGTGGTCTGTGTTCGACCACTACCATGTCTTTTTTTTTTCTTTCTTTGGTTTGCGTTATTACAACGTCTGTTATTTATTTTCCAAATATGTATTACAGAACTTTCCCATGATTTGGTTCCAAGAACGACACAACATACCAAAGCTATCTCAACAAAAAGAAATCAAAGGAGAGAAATGTTGTTATGTAGAAAGAATACATCTGAAAGAAAACTGCACAGATTTAGTTAAACATGTAGTTGGTAATGTTTGCAGACACACATATTGTATACGAAGCGTGTTACTAGCATGTTCTCTTCATACAGAAAGATCATATAATGAGAACTATGTAAAGGGCGCTCTCTGGTGGCCAATCCAAGTTCCTAAATATGTGATACTACATACTACAAGGAGGTTCATTTTATTGACTGTTTCATACAGACAGAATATATTCTACACATGTTCAGAGACTGAACCATTCCTATCTGTCTCTGCAGAGTCAATGGCAGAAGATACTTTAAGTAATCTATCAGTATGTCTATGGAACTGAAACCCACCAGAGGAAAATATACTTATCCCCTAGAGATGGTATCCCATTGCTGCAAACTACGAGACGTTATCAAGTCTTTTTCTTCATTCATTATTATGTTGCTAATTTTAGGCACATCCCTTTGGGTTGTAATTGTCTAATCCATAGCAATACTCTGTGTGAAGTGCTCCAATTAGTGCTCCCCCTCCAGAGCCCCACTCACCACAGATAATTGGCCTCCTGGAATGGTAGGTCAAATATCACATTAGATGTTGCAGCTCTCTCCTGCAGAAAGTAGGCCGTCTGTGTGGTCTTGATCAGGGGCAGACTGATAACTCATGGGGCCCCCGGGCAATAGGGGATCATGGGGCCCCTGTGTCCTTGCCCAAACTCAAACAAGCCTATGAAAAAGGTACCAGGGGCATCTCATGGGGCCCCCTACTGACCCCGGGCCCTCAGGCAGTGCCCGAGTTTCCAAATGGTCAGTCCACCCCTGGTCTTGATACCTCTACACGCTGATGACGGACTCCATATGTGGAAACACCTCTAGACCAATCATTTGCAAAAACTCCTCCAGCTATGGATAAGAAGATTAAATATTGTGTCATTTAGTATTCACATTGGATGCTGATGGGGATTTTTTATTTTTTTTGGAACTTTCATATGTTTGCATCATTTTTGGGACTTTAATATACACACACATTGGTTTCATATAAATTCACTGTATACACATATATTAAATATTTCTGCAGCGCTAAAAGATATCAAACGTTATGCGATAAGTATTGTAATGTTCTGATGTACATAAAAAAGGGGTTTTAAAAGTTCAAACGAATAAAATCCACATATAGATGAATAAAATCCACATGTAAATGAACATGGTCAAAACCCAGGTGACTTGATTATTCCCAGTTGTGCATAATTCAAAAGGTTCGGTGAGGTGTGGGATACAGATAAAATGCTCACTCACCAGATGCGCATTGGTATTGTGCAGTGTAATATATTAAGTACAGGTCTGCCAGGAATCCCTCTTTAGGTGGTACTGGATGCAGCCCAAGTTAGGTGGCCCTCATCAGGGTTAGAAGATGGTCTTAAAACCGGAGGTCCCCTTTGAGGATGTAGCATAATGGATACCTCCTCTTCCAGGCACTAGGATGGTCACCCGGGGAGTTCTGGGGGATTTAAACGCTCAGTGCAGAGCAAAAATTGAAATTCCCACAGTGTAGTAATTTGAATGTGTTTATTATAGGAATAATTCAATGTTTAAAAGCAAGCCAAATATTCACATACATCGGCATGAAGTAAATGTATAATATGGAAGTTTGAAATTACATGCAGCATAAAGCTGCTCAAAGCACTGACCAGCTGGGTAGTTAAAATGGCCGCCGGACCTCCTTCATGCCGATGTATGGATTGGATCTGCGGATTGAGCATAATGGATCAGGGTCCGATCCATTATCCTCCCCAATCCGCAGATCCGATCCATCCTGCGGGGATCATCGCCATGCAACCTATACGGGGTTAACTGATCTCTCCACAAAAAAGGTAAGTTTTAAAGCAAGCCGACGATCCCCGCAGGATGGATCAGATCTGTGGATTGGGGAGCACCGTGTTTACAATGCCCTGTAGTTGCATTGTTAAGTTAAAGCGATTCTAAAGGTTCATTTTCTTTTTAATATAACAAACATGTGTATACTTGTGGTTTTGCACAGAGCAGCCTGAATCCTCCTCTTCTCGGGTCCCCTGCAGGTTCTCCTGGCCCGTCCCTCCTGTTGGGTGCCCCCACAGCAAGTAGCTTGCTATGTGGGCACCCACTGCTCCATGTGTCCATTCACACACGGAGCCATGACTTGGCCCCCACCCCCTCTCTCCTCATTGGCTGACTGGCTGTGATTGACAGCAGTGGAAACCATTGGCTCCCGCATGCTGTCTCAGCCAATGAGGAGGTAGAGACCCGGGACAGCCGAGGCTGTCATTCACATCGCTGGATCGCGATGAGGCTTGTGATGAGTAACTATTGAGGGGGCAGGGGGCACTGATTCACACAGAAGATTTTTTACCTTCATGCACAAAATGCATGAAGGTAAAAAACATTCAGCCTTTATAACCACTTCCGCACCGCCCTATAGCAGAAATACTTCTACAAGGCGGCACAGGTATGCAAAATCACATATATATACATGATTTCGCAGTTTTGGGTAGGGGACATGCGTGCCCTACCAGCACCGCCATTCGTGGCCTTGGCAGCCAGTGATTCCCCGACGGCACCCAACGATCGCCAAATATCACCAACAGGAAAGAGATCTGTGTATAAACAACACAGATATCTCCCCTGTCAGCTCCTGCACACTGCTTTGTATGGCTCTGCATAGCAGAACCATACAAAGTAGTGGGGTTACAGTGTAAAGGACACACAGCACACAGTAAAACAACACACAGTTAACTCTTTGATCGCCCTCTTGTTAACCCCTTCCTGCCCAGTGTCATTAGTACAGGGTCAGTGCTTTTTATCAGCACTGATCACTGTATTGGTGTCACTGGGGATGTCAGTGGCACCAAGTCAGTTCCCCCTCAGTGTCAGAATGCCAGCCACAGTCCTGTTATAAGTAGCTGATCGCCGCCATTACTAGTAAAAAAAAAAAACATTCCAGTATATATATCGCCATTTGTAAATGCTATAACTTTTAGGTAAAACAATTCATTTACATGTTTTGGGATTTTTTTTAGCAAAGACATGTTGCAGAATACATTTTTGCCTAAATTTATGACAAAATTTGATTTTTTACATTTTTTTACAGGACATGTTTAGTAGCAAAATGTCAAAAATATAGTTTTTTTTTTTCAAAACTGTCAGTCTTTTTTTGTTTATATCGCAAAAAATAAAAAATGCACAGGTGATCAAATACCACCAAAAGAAAGCTCTATTTGTGGGAAAAAAAGGACATAAATTTAACCTGGTTGCAGCGTTACATGACCGCTCAATTGTCAGTTAAAGTAACACTTCGGCGTATCGCAAAAAATGGTGTGGTCAGGAGGGGGTGGGGGTGGGGTAAATCCTCTGGAGGGGAAGTGGTTAATGCACCATGTGATGTGGTTGCAGTTCATTTCAAAATGTTGTGCATGGACTACCTTTGGTACTGTGAAAAATAATTTGTGCCCATTCAAAATGAATGATTTGAGTCCATTAATTCTGAATGTTCTCAAATCGCACCACACTGACTTGCATGGGAATCGAACAGGAACATACCAATGAGCACTCCCTGTAAACTGATCCATCTGGAAGAGAGCTTTTTCTTTTGAAAAAAAAAAAAGACTTACTGGCTAGATCACCAAATAGAAGAAAGACAAAAAAAAACAATCCAGCCATCACATCTAAGAATTGGTAAGCTGCAATATAATAAATGTTTGTTTTTAGGTTTAATACCACTTTTAAAGGAACCTCTTCCCTATACAAGCAATGCAAGTCTTCTGACAAGTCTTCCTTTGTCAGCTGATATTTTCAGACTTATCTCAAATACATACATCAGGCATAAACGCTGTAGAAGGGAAGAGCTTATCATTTTTCAGGGACTTGTTATACTTCTGGGTTCTACAAGCTCATTCAAAAATTAAAAACCAATCAGGATGTATATTTACATTATGGGTGCAGTGCAGGGGCGGACTGACAACTCATGGGGCCCCTGGGCAATAGGGGATCATGGGACCCCTGTGTCCTCACCCACACACAAAAAAGCCTATGAAAAAGCCAATGAAAAGGTACCAGGGGCATCTCATGGGGCCTCATACTTACACCGGGCCCTCGGGCAGTGCCTGAGTGCTCGAATGGTCAGTTCCCTGGTGCAGTGTGTGTGTGTTGGGGAGGGGATAGCATGGTATCATCTCACCCTGGGCCTGCCCTGCAGTGTGTGACCCTGTTGTAGGCTGATGGCTCAATTGGAATTCAAGCTACTGTTGTCACCATTCCTTCGTGAGTTCCCCTATATTCCTTCCCAACTGGTAGATTAAAGCGGTAGTAAACTCAGTTTTTTCAATTGCACCTACTAGTAAGCCTAGAAAAAGCCTAGAGTGGATATCTCATAGACCTGCACTGTTTAGGAGCTATTCACTGTTGCTGCAGCAGGTGATGTCACTGGCACATGCGCACTGAAGCAACAGCATATTCATGCCTTTGTGCCGTAGCCATGAATACCGCGCATATGCTCTGGAGTGACAACATCGCGGTTTGGCCATTTAAACAAACTTTTTTTAAACTTTTTTTCCTGCAGCAGATTGCGTTTTGCATGTAATAGACTTCAATGGAACTGTTTTTTATGCATTTTGAGTATTGCTTTTTGTGTGACTTTGAGCTGGTTGTTAAGGAATGGGCAGCCGCCGGTGTCCTTAACCAGTAAAAAATGTTGTTAAAGGAGTGGGCAGCCAACGGTGTCCTTAATAACCAGTAAAAAAATATGGTTGTTAAGGAGCGGGCAGCCAACGGTGTCCTTAATAACCAGTAAAAAAATATGGTTGTTAAGGAGCGGGCAGCCAACGGTGTCCTTAATAACCAGTAAAAAACATGATTCTTAAGGAGCATGCAGCCGCCGATGTCCTCAATAACCAATAAAAAACATGGTTGTTAAGGAGCATGCAGCCACCGGTGTCCTTAATAACCAGTAAAAAAAACATGATTGTTAAGGAGGGGCAGCCGCCGGTGTCCTTAATAACCAGTAAAAAACATGGTTGTTAAGGAGCATGCAGCTGCCGGTGTCCTTAATAACCAGTAAAAAAACATGGTTGTTAAGGAGCGGGCAGCCAACGGTGTCCTTAATAACCAGTAAAAACACATGGTTGTTAAGGAGCGGGCAGCCAACGGTGTCCTTAATAACCAGTAAAAACACATGGTTGTTAAGGAGCGGGCAGCCAACGGTGTCCTTAATAACCAGTAAAAACACATGGTTGTTAAGGAGCGTGCAGCCACCGGTGTCCTTAATAACCAGTAAAAAAACATGGTTGTTAAGGAGCGGGCAGCCGCCGCATCCTTAACGACCGATGAGCCATCAGCTGTCAGCAGGGTTTCCCGCTGACAGCTGAATATAAGCAAATCTATTGCTGGCAATGAAAAAAATAAAGAAATTGGGAAAAAAAAAGCATGGGGTCAGCTCTCTCAATCCTTACCAAGCCCTTCAGGTCTGGTATGGATTCTGTGGGGAGCCCCACACCAAAATTTTACCCGAAGGGCCTGGTATGGATTGGGGGGGAGACCCCGCACAGTTTTTTCCCTAATTTTTTAATTTTGTTTAATTGGCAGTAATAGGTTTGTTTATATTCATCGATGACTCATTGGTTGTCAAGAACGCGGTAGCCGACCACTGCTTAACGACCATATTGTTTACTGGTTGTTAAGGATGCCAGCGACTGCCGACTCCTTGACAACCAGGTAAAGTCACACAAAATGCATAACAAATGCATAAAAAAAACGGGTAAAAAAACCCCACAAAATGCACCTGGAATATGCATCAACCCCAGTCTGTATAGATGTGAACCTAGTCTTTCTGCCACTTTGTCTGGACAGCTTGGTCTGTTACAGGAAGGTGAAACTAACATAATTACTGGTAGGATCACCAGGTGAAAATAAAGGGGAAAAAAAAGCCTAAAAACACAACAAAGGCTAGATCCACACGTATGCAGTTTGCGTTTGATCCGTTTCTGCTGTGTTTTTTGCGGTGCGTTTTGCATTTTTGCACATGCGTTTTTGCCGCTTTTTTTTCAACTTGTTGCTGGGCAGATTAAACCGCAAAATGCATAAAAAACACACTACATGCATTTCTGCAGCGTCTCCATTGAAGTCTATTGAACCAAAAAGACAATGTTTTGCACTTAAAAAAGTCCCTGATCCTTTTTAAAAAACGCATCGGGTGAAAACGCGGAGATGTGAAAACGCAAAGAGAAACACATACGTGTGAACTCAGACTAAGGCAGCCCCCACATCAAAGAATTGCTGAGCTGCAACATATTCTTTTTTTTGGTTTAGGGTTTATTACCACTTCAGTTGGTGCTGGGGGTGCAAAATAGATACCCTAGAAGGATTATTGAACAGGACCGGCGAACAGAAAAAACAATTCATTTCAAGAAAATATAAATGGAAACTAAGCTGTAGAGTTGTTTGTCGCTGGCTGGCTGACAGGGCCAGGCTATAATTTGTTGCTTTGGGCACTGTTCCAAATAGAACACAGGTCAGGAACAGCTCCAGCACATGAAAAGCACTCCATAAAATCATGATGGGATCCAGTCAAATTAAATTGTGTGTGTTAAGGTATTAGTGAACCATCACAATCACTGGTTTGTTTTATTTAGGACACGTTTGGTGCAGGAGAGGAGTTTGGGAAGATTTGCACATGTGTTAGCAAAGTTTTATGGTACTTTGGATGGGTGCAGGGGCGGACTGACCATTTGGAAACTTGGGCACTGCCCGAGGGCCCGGGGTCAGTAGGGGGCCCCATGGGATGCCCCTGGTACCTTTTTCATAGGCTTTTTTGAGTTTGGGCAAGGACACAGGGACCCCATGATCCCCTATTGCCCGGGGGCCCCATGAGTTGTCAGTCCGCCCCTGGATGGGTGATTTGCTCCCTGTACACTAATCCCATATTTCACATATGTGCGTTCCTGCAGTTCGCGTTTTGCGCAAACACGAGAGCCCATTCATTTGAATGGACTCCCGTGCCCCGGGACACACAGGGAAGAAGTCCCTGCACTTCTTCTGAAAACACAGCCTGCACGGGAACCTCAGTTTCCAGTGCGGTTGTGATTTCCAGTGCGGGCGGCGTGCCCATAGAATTAATGGCACTTGCCTGCGGGTCTGCATTCTTCTGTGTGGGTGGTGCAGCTGCATGGATATTTGTGCGCATCCACAGCGGCACTAACCGCACATATGTTAACCTAACCTATGTGCCTGGTCATACCAGTGCAATTTCAGGTGCGATTTGGGAATTGAAATCGCACCTGAAATCGCATCTAATGAATGTGAATGTCAGTTTCTTAACAGTTGCGATCTGCTAAAGTAGTTCTTGCATTACTTTTTCTGCAGTTTTGTTGCAATTTCACATCCATAACATATAATGAAAATCGCACTGCAAATTGCAAGAAATTGCTGTCAATCACTGGGTCCGGCCGGTGATTACTCGCTGGTGCCGGTGATTGCTGAGCTTCTCCAATGGGGGGGAAAGCTGTAAATAAACAAAACAGTTCTCTCACCTGTCAGCTCCTGCACACTGCTTTGCATGGCTCTGCATAGCACAGCCATGCAAAGCAGTGTGCTTACAGTGAAGCACAAACGCAGAACACTTAGTAAAACAGCACACAGTTAACCCTTTGATCACGCCACATGTTAACACCTTCCTGCCCAGTGTCATTAGTACAATGTCAGTGCTTTTTGTTAGCACCGATCGCTGTATTGGTGTCACTGGGGATGTCAGTGACACCAAGTTAGTTCCCCCCAGTGTCAGAATATCCACTGTAGTCTCACAGTCCAGTTATAAGTCGCTGATCCTCGCCATTACTAGTAAAAAATAAAAAAATAAAAAAGCCCAGTATATATACCGCCATTTGTAAACACTATAACTTTCACATGAACCAATTATTTTGCAGGTATTAGGAAATGTTTTTAGCAAAGACATGTAGAAGAATCCATTTTGGCCTAAATTTATGACAAAATTTGATTTTTTATTTTTTTTTACTGGACATGTTTAATAGCAAAAATTCACAAATATTTTTTTTTTCTCGAATTTGTCATTTTTTTTTTATAGCACAAAAAATAAAAAAAAAAACACACAGGCAATCACATACCACCAAAAAAAGCTCAATTTGTGGGAAAAAAAAAGGAAGAAAACTTCATTTGGGTGCAGCGTTGCATGACCGCGCAATTGTCAGATAAAGTAACGCAGTGCTGTAACTCAAAAAATGGCCTGGTCAGGAAGGAGGGTAAATCCTCTGGAGGGCAAGTGGTTAAGAACCCTGAAACTGAATCGTTTTCTCCGTAAGCTAGCATCTCCATTGAGGTATTTGTATGTCACTATCATAGCTCCTCTGAAGTGATGAGAATGCAAGGGCAGTGCATGTGCCTGCACCGCATCACGTCACTGCAGATTCAGTGCAATGTGATTATGAAGAGTAAATGCATGTACTACTTTTGGTGTGATCCAGCGTGATTTCATCTCATGCAGGAATCGCACAGATAGAAGGAACTAGCCCTTAAAGTGGAACTAAAGGCATCAATACTATCAGTTCCCAATTGGGGCAGAGAAGAATTGCTCATTTGATCATCTCCTTGTAAATTTAGACCAGCTTATGGGGGAGGTCAAAAAAGGGGTTCAGTCGCAGATGGGGGCATTGTCCTGCGTGAGTGTATTTTCTGCTGGAGTGCAAAGCAGCAGTTGAACACAGCAGTTTAACTAAAGCAGGATAATTAAAGCAGCACGAAGATACAACAAAGAAGTCTACTGCACTCTGGATGGACTGCAAGCAAACACCCTGGGAAACATCTCCTACAAGTCTGATTACCAATCCATCTACCTTTTAATATGCCGCCTCTACACCTCCTTTTCATAGTACTGTCCTCTGTTCTCAAAATCTCCTTTCTTTACCCCTCTGCTCCACCCGAGGCTTATACACATCATCTCACTTCTACCATCTCCCTACTACTGCTCTCCTCACCTACTGCTGATACTTTACTCACCTGCTGACCCAAACACTAGGACAGGAAAGCATGTGCACTCATATACATCCCGCACCCATCTTACTTTCCTCTCCCTCCTTCTCCTAACCTCTAGGGATATCTTCCTGAAGCCTGGTCCTCCAGTATCTCACCCTCACACCAGGCACCCTCCTTCCTCCAGGAATAGCTGCTTTTAAACCATTTTTCTGGAAGCTGCCCAATAGTGGGCGGGTGCCACACCCAGCATAGGAGGAGCTAGCATAAGGATTCCGCGAGGAAAACAGAGTCACATTCAACCACCATATTCGTTATCTGAAAAGTCACACTTTTGCTTCTTATCTACCCTAAACATCTACTCATCTACCCCAAACTTAAGGATTTCTAACTTCTAAAGGCCAACACATTTCATAGGCATTACACCAAAGAACAGAGGTATACCACTCAGGCAAACAATCTGGATCAATCCACAACAGGAGAAGGCTCTGGCTCGCCACCACACACGATGCATTGGGAAAAAGGGTCAGCTACACAATGGAGGACAGATGACTATAGTGTATATTTATTGATCCATAGGACACAAAAAACACCAGGACATGAATACAGGACTTGTTAACGCGTTTCACGTGATCTCATGCTTAATCATAACAAAGAAAACTACAAAAGTGCTGTCTTATATAGGTATTAGTTAATAAAGAACACCTGTCCTAGTCAGCACTCCTGAATCCTGAGGATACGCCTACTAATACATTGTAACGAAACATATAAAACCATTGTATCAAAAGTAGTGATCTCAGAGAACAACAAGGATGGAAGAAAAGAAAAAAGAAAAACAAAGTGGAATAAAAAGAGAAACAAAGAAAGAGAAAAAGAATAATGAATAAAAATTATTAAAAAATATAAATAAAAAGTATAATTAAAAATTTAAATGAACATACACAAACACAAATAAAAGCAAATGAATATCCCAAAAAGATATGGGCTGAGGATTCACATTTGTAAAGGATCAAAATTTAAATAATAATATATACAAAAAACGCATGTCTACTTGGGATAAAGTGCAAAAAAAAAAAAATCACAAAAACATATATATTCAGACAGGAATATATCAAAACAATAGAAAAAAAATATATTAAAAAAAGTATCAAAAAAAACAAAATACAATGTTGAAAATGACCCTTGTTGACACATGTACATTGAGATTTTGTCTAGACTTGTATTACTTTTTATGCTGTACATTTGCAGTGGTAATACGAAAAAAAAATACAACTTGCAGTAACTAAAATAAAAAAGGAACTGTCATCGTTTATGATTATGAATGGTTTTCATCTGTGTGGTTAGGCAAGCTATGTATGGAAGACACACCAACGTGATGTTGTAATTAGATGGAAGTTGTTACTATTTCCCCCGCCTTCTGTAAACCAATGTAAACATGTGGACATATTTGTGAATTTTTTTAAAGGCTGCACATGCAAAATTTGTTGAAATATAGAAAAAAAAACACACAATAAAAGTGTATGTCCGACCATTTTTTTTTTTTACACTGAGTGGGGAAGAACTAGAACCCCTGCTTGGTTTTATTGCTATCTGGTGTCTTGCCCTCCAGATGATTTACCCCCTGTCCTGACCAGACCATTTTTTGTCATTCGGCACTGCGTTACTTTAACCAACAATTGTGCGATCATGCATCGCTGTAAATAAATTTTCCCTTAAATAGAGCTTTCTTTTGGTGGTATTTGATCATCTTTGCATTTTTTATTTTTTGTGCTATAAGCAAAAAAAAATTATATTTTTACTTTTTGCTATAAAACACATCCAATAAAATTTTTTTTAAAAATTACATTTCGGCATAAATTTAGACCACAAAGTATTCTGCTACATGTCTTTTCTAAAAAAAAATCCCAATATGTGTAAATTGGTTTACATGAAAGTTATAGTGTCTACAAATGGAGGTATATCTACTAGAATTTTTATTTATTTATTTTTTATACTAGCAATGGAGGCGATCAGCGACTTATAGCAAGACTGCAGGACTGCGGCGGGCATTCTGACACTGGGTGGGAACTGACTAATGGTCACTGACATCTCCATTGACACTGATACATTGATCAGTGCTAATAAAAAGCACTGACACTGTACTAATGACACTGAGTAGGAAGGAGTTAACATCTGGGGCGATCAAAGGGTTAACTGTTGTGTTGTGCTTACACTGTGTGCTGCTTTACTAGGGAGACATGCTGCTTTCTTTCTTTCTACTGTGCAGAGAGAGAGAAAGTAGCATGTCCATGCTGACAGGAGAGACATCTGTGTTGTTTAGTGGCGATCACTGAGTGCCAGCCGGGACCCAGTGATTGACATCCGCTGCAACCAAAGGTTTGGAGCTCAATTTAGGCAGATTGGCGCATTTTTTAAACATTTTTTCCCCATAGAAATGCGTTGAAACACAAATTTCACGATGAGCATTTTCAAGCATTTTGGCACGTTTTTCTGCTCAACTGCAAAAAATAAACATGAATAATAACAATAACTATTAAATATATACAAAGTAATATTAAATAAATAAATTCCCTAAAATAAAGATCATGTGATTTCCTCGCGGCCTCGTTTTTAAAAAGGTGTATGCACCTTTTTTTGTGGAAAATGCAGGCTCGGCAGCCCATTCAAATGAATGGGCTGCCATGCCCACAACAATGCGTGCTGCATGACTCACACACAAGTGTGAACAAGTTTTCTGCACACATTCAAAGATATAGCTAGAAACATTTAGGCTGGCCCCATATTTATGGATATGCTGCTTTATCTGCATACACATTGCTAAAACCAACAAAACATATAATACCGCATAGATGATGCTAACCTTTATTTTTGTTTAATGT